AAGCAACCCAAAGCCTGAAGAGTTGCTTAATATTAGCAGGCCTTCCTAATAAGCCAGCTGAAATAAGATGCCCTCAGCCACCGGCAAGGCGTCCCTACGAAGCAGTCTGTTTGGAGACAGGTGACGCTGTCGTGCTAAAACACAAGCTGTGGAGAATCGCCCCGCTCTCCCGGGTCCCCATCACGAGAATGCTCACATTCTCCCCTCCTTTCTTCTTCGGGAAGGTTCTACCACTCACCATTTTCAGGTCTGGGTGTTATACATCTAGTTACACAGCTATGGATTGGGAGTAGGAATCTGATGTACACGTTTCTAGGTTCCAGAGTTTTCTAACTGGCATCATGCAAATGAGTTAGAAGTTGGCAAAGGTAAGAATTCCTCTCAGCCCCTGGGAAGGCTGGGTCGCTGGACCCAAGTGGCTGTGAGGGTGCCACTAGATGACAAAGGTCGGGAGGCATGGAGCTGAAAGAAGGGCAAGTTCTCCACCAAGGGCAAGGCTGGTCTGCTCCATGCAAACGGGCCCCCAGCTTGACTCCACAAAGTGTCCAGTAAACCAAACACCGGGCAGGTCAGTGCAGCTAGATGTTCAGTTGTTTAGAGAACCAGAACTTGCATTGTTTTACTGCCCGAGCAGTTCTCCCTTTTCTCAGGCCCTTTATTTCGCCTTCCGAAAAGAAGCAGGCGGCAGAAGAGGCCCAGAAGCAGGAGAAAGCTGCGGGGCCTGCAGGTGGCGGGGAGGTACACCTGGCCATGCTGCTTGCTAACTGCCTGCTCCCTGACATGAAGACCCAGGCTTTCCTCCGCTTGCCCTTCAAAAAAGCACATTCCCCTCAACTTCCACACATCTGCCCTCCTTGAAAAGGGGCCCAACGCCCTGGAGTAAAAGAGGCAGCTCGTGGAACCTCGCAGGAAGGCGGGTGTCTTCAAGCCTCTGGCTGCTAAGCCGGACATTTCCTAACACTGGACAAATTGTAAGTCCAGCTCAGGGAGGATGAACGGCAGTGGTCTTTTACCCTGCGAGCCAATTGTTAGCTTTTCACAGGAATCAGCAGGGAAGCACATGTGAAACCTCTGTGGGGACGGTGGGCACCCCATGCCTGTGTGAGTCTGCATGTAGATGAAGCGGCCGGGAGCTTTCTGAGCTGCGTTCTCAGGAAGCCCTTTTCTCCAGCGGGGCTCCCTGCTGGGCCAGCCCCTTTCAGTTTCTCTACCCCCCTCCATCTCTTCTCCCGCAGAACACAGGGAAACTTGATTGAAATAAAGACCTAGGGAACATGGTTTATTTTCTCCTGCTCAATCCATTTTAGAAAAGCTTTTAATTGGTTTTAAAAAGATGCTAAACAAAATGTGATGATGTTTTTCAGTCTTCTTGAGCTACAGATACCACTTTTTAGACTCTCAAAGGGCTAATAAATCAATCATGAAATTGAACTCTCCAGTGAAATTTAAAGCCGAGCCACTGAATACCAGGTTCATTAGAAATCTATGCATTTGCTTCAAAAAATTTAAAATTCAAAGAAAATTATCCTAGTAACTGAAATCTGACTTGCATTTTTATAGTCCTACACTGGAAATCCAAGAGCAAGGCGGTGACAAAGGGAAAAAAAGGAGGGCTTGTGAACCAGTTTTAATAAGCCAGTTTACAAGAAGAGAAGGGGCTCTGGGGGGAGGAGGGGGGGAGCAAAGAGAGAATATCTTGATACATAACAACATAGGCCCCTGGGGGGATGCTTTTATTTGAGCATGTGCACACACGCACACATCAGTTTTCTGTGTGAAAGCTGGAATCACTACGAATGCAAAATGAAGGACTCGGTGACTGATATGATTACTGTTTTGTGTAGAGATGTGATTCTTTTCAAAGGAAAATGCCTACAACTTTTTGGCTTTCTTGCCACTGCTAAATAACCGTCCTTTACCACCGAATACAACTTTGCGGCATTCAGATGCAGACACCTTTAATGTTTAAGCCAGGACACCTGGAAAAGCGGCACCGCAATGGCCAGTGAGGGTCTACTGTATGATGATGAGTAGTCCAGCTACTGGACCGGTCCCTCTGAAAATAGCTCCTCATGCTCCTGAGAGTGTGCAAACTAGTTTTAAAAGCAAGGTAGTACAGAAAAAAACACATGAAATATTTTCTGTAACATACACTTAACTAGAAATTTTACAAACGTGACATTCACCTCTCCTGGTTTCACATAACCGCAGGCCAGGCCAGAGTCACCATGTTAAGGATGGCTGATTGTCCCTGCCATTACTCATCACGAAGGCAACCAGATGTAGCTTTTATTCTTATTTGTTCCCGTAGTCTTCCTCTTCAGTCCCTGGTGAACTTCATTGCTTTCTGAGATTTCTCCCAAGCTGGGCAAGTACCCTGGATGCTCACCTCTTTCTAAAGCTCTCTCTCTAATTCTCCTTTCATCATTTAAGATTGACTCTGAAATAACTTATTCCTTTTGGGAACCATTGAGACATAATTTACATACCACACAATTCACCCACTTACCGTGTACCATTCAATGTGTGTGGGTTTCCCCCCCAGTATATCCATAGATATGGACAGCTGATCAATTTTAAGACATTCTCACCATCAAAAAGAAATGCCATCTTTATTAGCAGTCACCCCTCACCCTCCCATCTTCTCTTATTCACTAATCTCCATTCTGTCTCGCTGGGTTTCTCCATTTTGCGCATTTCCTATGACTAGGATCGCATAATAGGCGGTCTTGTGTGTGGCATCTCTTCACAGTCCGTCCAAGTTGTCGTCACGTCACCACACTGTATTCCCTTCTATCACTGGCTCATATCTCACTGCAAGGGTGCCCCACATCTATCTATCTGTTTACCAGGTGGGAATGAACATCTGGGTTGCTCTCCTGTCCTGGCTTCTATGGATCATGGTGCCACGAACATGTGTATATAAATGAGCTTCTGTGTGGACACGTTTTAATTTCTTTTGGAGATGTGAGTGAAACTGCTGTTTCATATGGTAACTATTATGTTTAACCTTTTGAAGACTCGCCAGACTGTCTTCCAAGGTGAATGTGCCATACTGCACTCCCACCAACAGTGTAGGAGTTACCATTTCTCACATCCTTGTCGACACTTATATTTGTCTCTTTTTGATTGAAGCCACTGGAGTGGGAGTGAAGTAGCAGTTTTGATTTGCATTTCCCTAATGGCCAGTGGTGAGCATTGTTTCATGTGTTTAATATTCATTGGACCATCACTTCTTTTTGTCCAAAAATATAAACTTTGGCAATAATGAGGCAGCACCACCAAATGAGAAGGCCTAAGAAAATTGATTTTGTTGAATAAGTGATTCATCAAGTACCTATGCAGACACCTCTGTGCTAGATGCTGACAGATTTTAAAGCATAAAATCATGTTCCTTCCCTGAAGTCGTAACACTAATTTTTATAGAAACAGTCATCCTCACTGGTCTTTAATAAAAATGTTACAGTTCATTTGTTAATATATTCTGCCTAATTCTGTTAGTGTCTACAGATTACAAATAACTCCTAGCCAGGGAATTTAGCTCTGTTTAAATTGACGTGCAAAGTATTTAACAATGAACACAACATGACATTTTAAGACATATCATTGAACTTATTTCACCTCTCTCAAAGTGACTAAGAAAAAAACCCCAAAAACAGTTTTATTGAGATGTAATGCACACATCACAGAATCCAATGGTTCAATAATACTAAAAAGATCTCAAAATGACTTTTGCCACAAATTCTTTTTAGTTAAAAAACTGATTATAAGAAATAAACTCAAATATCTAGGAAAACTCTTCTAATGAAAAAAAAATTAAATGCTAATTTTAGAAAAAAGAATTTTCATATGACAAGTAAATGGAAGAAAGTATTTATATTCTAATGACTTTGAATATATCTACTTACATTCTCATAAGAACCTTGAGACAATCAAGGAAGAGAGAGGTACTCTTCCCTAACTGCAGCCCTGCTGGGACTAAAGGTTCAATTTTGGGGAACAGAGTTTACAGAAAGAACCTCCACGCGCAATACATGGTAACTTTTCAAGGCTTTTGCAGGTTATGTTGCTTTTCACCATTTAAAAATCTCAGAAAAACCGACCTAGAAAGTCTTTAGCTCTGACACACATGAACATACGATTTTAACTTGAAATTAAAATTAGATTCTCCAGCTTAACAGTAAATATTTCCACACACGTCGTTTATCTCTCTGAGCTCCAACAGGAGGCGTGCATGCAGATATTAAGACCCTTTTCAAGCCGGCACTGGGGCCCGGTTGTATCTCTGGATGGACAGCTCTTCGTGGTTCCAGCGCGCAGAATCAGCCAAGAGAATTTGTGTCGAGTCAGAGCCAAACTCCTCTGGCAGTCTCGACGTAATTCACATATTTAACCACCTCTCCTAAACTGGTTTTAAATTTGCCAAGCCATCAAAATCACCAGTCTTTCATAGCCACGTCAGTCAAACCCTGTCTCTAAACTGCTCTTCAAAAACTCCAGTTGACACAAGAGAAACAGCTTCAGCTCATTGGTAAAATTTGAAAAAAATGGATAATGCATCTGCCTACAGGAAGTAAATTAAAATTTCCCCTAATGCAAATTTATAGGAAAACCTTATGAAATGATAAATGGGACAAACGGGATCATATGTTTAATTACTTCTCCATTAATATCATAATCTCTCATGAGATGAAAGGTAATAGGGATGTGTAATATGGTGGCAAACAAATAAAATAATTACATAGAACATTGATAAAACAAATTTTTGAGATCTTTGGACCAGAGGTGAGAAACCTCTGGTTGAAGAGAAATATCATCCATCTTCAGGCAGAAGACAAGATCATATGCTTTTTTCAACCTTCAACAATAGAATTTTCCATGTGTATGATAACCTGGCTACGTATAGAGCGCATACGATTACATGCACTTTACTGAAAAACGGAAACTATCACTATCATCATCATCATCATCATCATCATCATCATCATCATCATCTTTACCTGAGGAGGGGCCTTTTTCAGTAATACAAGAAGCGCCTGCAGCACCAGATTAGAGAACCGAGGGCCAATCGGAACATAATCTGGAAAAGAACATTGCTGTGCTTAGAGATTTGACGTATTCAAAGGCACCTGCCTTAACACTCAGGCTGTTCTTTCTCCAGAGTAAACACAGTCCTAACTCACAGCCCTGCAACGACAGAATGAGGACAAGGCTCTCTAGCAAGTTAAATGCTCAAAATCTGTTACCTGTGAACGTTTTATAAAAACCTTCTAAATACCCATTATGAGTTCAGGGAGTTATCTCTGGTTTTCAGAAACTGTATCCTTTTTAGGGAAAAACAAAAACAGGTGCCTTCTTAGAAACTACTACACACATGGCAGTGTAGGACACAGCAGAACAAGGGCTGGAAAGTGGGTGGAGGATGTGACGTGACAGGGTACTATAAGTAAGATATCACTCAACTGAGATGATGGTAGGGTCACTAAGACCAGCCAGCCCTTAGACAATAAACAACAGGAGGAAGAGAACTTCCTACCTGTTAAACTTGGACCAATCTTTCACGATTCAGCACACATACTCTCACGGAGCACCCTGGCCCTGTGCTCACCTACAGGTATCAGTCCACCCGAGTCTAGAGTGACCCTTCCCTTTTTTGAATATCCAGAATACAAGGCACACTCTTCTTTGAATCATTTGTTTTTCGCTATACGTGACAATGGAAAGGCAACATATTTATTTTTCTGTGAGCCTAATGAGTCCAGTATGTTGGAAAGGCTCAGCAAATGCTTGCTGAGTGAATGAGCAAACAAGCACGGATACGAACTGCTCACACGAGTGAAAATATACTCAGAAGGCACACATTCCTGACATAGTCGTGTTGCTATGACCACATATCTCATTATGTTTAGATAAAGGAATTTGCACAGAGCTATGTGCATGTGCCTGAAAGCATTTTCAGAAGTAATCCTATAAACTGGGTTGAGATGTATCAGAAATAACAGAGCAAACACTCAGGGCACTTGGTAAAACTATCAATGTGTAATAAACATTGCCCAAACCTGGAAAAATAAACAAATCAGTGGCTTTAATAGAAAACTTGAAGCAAGTCTGACTCACACTGTGAAGGAGTCAAGTCTGACCCCCAGGGACCCTGAAGGACGGAGGGTGTGCTTCCTCGGGTTTCTAAGGCTATACATTTTGATAGCCAGCAGCTCAACCTATAACCCGCTCTGCCCCCAGGCTCGTTGCAGTTAAGAATACCAGCGTGAACATTCACTGCCACTGAGTCACTGTTGACTCATAGCGACCCCCGTGGGTTTCTGAGACTAACCGTTTATAGGAGTAGAAAGCCCAGTCTTTCTCCCGTGGGGCTGCTGGTGGATTGCAGCCCAACACATAACCACTACACCACCAGGGCTCCTTTGCAGTTAAGAACAGTTAACTTGAAATCATTACTGTCCCACCACGGATGGTTAAGGAAGAAGGGACTACAATCATGAGTTGTCCAATATTTTCAGACATTCACTAAGTTACTAGGTGGGCTTTTTTTCAGTAGGCTTTATTACAGCATCCTGGATCATTTGCTATTAACAAATGTATGTTGAAATAAAATGTAAGCGTGATTTTTCTGCCATTTATTGTCATTTACTCCTTATGAGTTAAGCGAGCACAGAGACTACCTCTTATCTACGGTGTCCCCTACGAGTGCACTCAAACATTCCTTGCCCTCCAGTTGATTCTAACTCTGAATGACCAGGTCAGCCCGGAGCAGCCCTGCCCCAAAGGCTTTCACGAACTGTCATCTCTATGGAAGCAGAGCCACATCGCGCTCCTGTGGAGCATCTGGTGGGCGTGCACAAGTGACCTTTCAGTGAGCAGCCCAGCTCGTGACTACGGTGTCACCAGGGCCCTGGTAATTAATTAGAGGAGATTCCTATTAAATAAACGTTTATAGTTGCCACAACATTTACTATTCCACTTTTGTCTTCACAAGTACTCTATGGGATAAGAGATGGATTTTAGTTTCTGTTTTTATAAGAGCAGAAGAAAGGTACATAGAGCTTAAGACCTCTGCTTAAGTGATAAAGCCAATTTGTGGATTTCACTTCAACCCTCAACCCTTTCTCATAAGTTCTGCCAAAAGCTGAACGTGGAACTTCCGAGCTCTGAGCAGTGCAGAGGTCTTAATTGGCAAATATATACATAAACAACAATTACAAATCATTTATTATGGGCAGGGCACTCTGTGGGAAATACACAATAAATGAGACACATACCATTATAGGAGAGTAAGTCATAATGGTGCTATGTTTATAAGGCATATTTAACATGGAAACCACCACTACCTTTAAATGAAAAGACTTTAGATGAATATTTCCCACCAAAGAAAGGCATTTCTATTGCCCTAAAACCTATAAATACCTGTTTAGTTTCTCTTCTAGTTTTTGAGATAGGAATTCCTGGGTAACTCAAATGGTTAAGTGCCAAGCTGCCAAGGTTGGCAGCTTGCATCCACTGGTGTGCCTTGGATCTCCTAATTTAGATCTACTTCCGACAGCTCAAAGACATTCAAAACCCCACAGAGCCCACAAGCTGTCATGTGGCAAAGACAGTACAATGGCCTAAGTTATGACTCACCCAGTAGTCTTTCAATGTCATCTACAACCACACAACTGAGCTGGGATTTGTATGCATCATCAAAGATCTGGAAGAAAGCAAAAGTACTTGTTATACTGCTAACCTCCTTAATTATGGAAATTTCCAAGAAAATGAAATTTAGTTTATTCTTGAACAATGCCTAAATGAAACACAGTAAGACACTGGTATTTCAGAGTACATTATTAGAGTTTAATTGATTAGCATTTTAGAATTGCAGGATCTTAGCAATTTGAAAAGGAGTAAACTGAGAACCAGAGCCATTACATGACTTGCCCAAGACCCCATAACTGAATCATGGCTGAGTGACAGCAGGGCAAAGCTGTTTTCAATACTGAGAGCTGCATGTATCCCACATCAATCCCCTGATATACCCCGTCACATTGATCACATTGATCTTCCATATCTATGTCAAGAGCAGGACTTCAGTGTTGCAACTCAAGCCTGAGATGTATTCTATGTACGAGTTGTGGTCTCGTAGGAAGGCATACCACCCAAAAGAACAAATCCTATTAGTTCAAGCTTTGTCCACAGAGGCAAAAACAGTTAAAGAGAGAATTATAGTTGGCTAAGAAGGGTCGGATGGACATAGGCTTAGAAAGAGAGAAATGACAGAATATAATGTCTTAAGGTAGCAGATTAACATGAGTAGTAAAGGGAGTTGTTCTACCTTGGGAAGGACAAAGCAGTTTCAAATCAGACAATTAGTTCATGTGTTAATTGAATATAAGTGGCCAAAGACTTGAGACCAGCCTCCTTATAAATAAGAGGGGTTCCTGTCCAGAGACTGTAAGTGGGGCTCAGTGTCCCGTTTCTGTCACGAGTAGAAATTAATTCCTGCATGCAAGCCCTGTTGCTTCTCCAGGCACCAACACTGGAGCCCTCTGCCCCTCCCCACTTTGTTCAGAGCGTGCAGTATTTCCTTAGTGGGTATTTTAACTCTAGAAGATGTTGCACAGAAATAAACCAATCTCATATTAACGTTTTCCATATTAGGTTTAACCTGTTACACTGTTCTTAAAATATTTTTCAACAGGACAATTTGCCATATTAGACTAGCCTGGCCAGCCCGATTTAAAATATGAAATGATTAATTTTGATAATTTACCTTAAAACAAAGGGTAAAAGGTCATTGAGGTAGTTAGTTTATTGTGCCAACCTGGCCGATAAACCTGTGAGGTTAATTGAAGGGTGGAGGGATAAATGGCTCCGTGAGCCTCGCCTTTCTAGTTCTCGGGTCTCTTGCTTTGTGATGGTCGGACCAGGGTGCAGCTGCCTTAGCCAGTTCCCTGCTTCAGCTGGCAAGGCTCACTTCCTGCAGGACAACCACGAGGACAAGCCACATGGACCTACCCCGATGCAGCCCTGGGTGCTGGAGCAGCCGTGTGGAGACCCCTGCCAGCGCTGAGATGCTTACACGCTCACTGACTCGGCTTTCCTCCTGCAATCAGTGTCATTGCGTGTGTTTTGTGAGATGGAGGAGGACTTTGTGGATTGGTGTTTTGGACTTGTGGGCTTGGGCAGCACTGGGTTGGAATGTTTTCTTGATGTGCACTTACCCTTTATATAACTCTCTCTTATACATGATTTCTGTGGATTTGTTTCTCTAAAGTACCCAGACTAATACAGTCATTTGAAGAGCTTTGAAATTAATGCTATAATGGCAAAGATAACTTAGTATTTTCCATATTTTAATTTCAACTTACTTTATTATTAAAGAAACACAATTATAGAAATACTTTAAAATATAGAGAATTTTGCTAGGTAAATAACAAGTACTCCAACAAGAAAACAAAACATTTTAAATGTGTTAATATAGCTTAAAATATTTTTAAAAATTTAATGAAGGTGGGAGGATGGGGGGTGGACGACAAAAGAGGGCTCAAGTAGAAAGAAAATGTTTTGAAAATGATGATGGCTAGAAAGCAAATGTTACGAGAATGATGACAGCAACAAATGTACAAATATGCTTGACGCAAGGATATATATATGGATTGTGATAACAGTTGTAGGAGCCCCCAATAAAACGATATATTTTTTAAAAATTAATCAAACATTAAAGTCCTTTAAAAAAAAATTAGGGCATTTTACTAGACTTAAAGTTAAGAGATATAAGCGGACTTTTTAATGCTTAATTTTCTTTTGTGCTGGAAAGCTAGGTTTTACATTTACATGTACTTTTACTATGTTCAATTTAAATCTTTTAAACTAATTAGCTACATGTGTCTATGTTTAAAAGTTACAGCCAAAGACTGAAAAAAGAGTAAAAGACAAACACAAACACAGCCCAGGATGACAATGTAGGTACGTTCTTCCCCAACACACTGTGTGCTTCTTTAGTCAGGGCTTGTCTTCCCCGCGGTTCGTTTTCTGGGTCTGCCAGCTTGCTGGCCCTCGGTCAGCTCCCGTGGGAAACCGTGTCTTTCCTGTCTACTCTGACACCATGCTCTCCTTCCTCGCTCCTTCTTTCCCGGGGCAAATACTGACTGTCTCCCTAGATACCGTAGACACTCGAGGATACGCCGACCCGCTAGCAGCCCGGGCACCTAATTTTACCACAAAAACTGCATTAAAAATGTGCTGAAAAACCCAGCTTATACATGAGTATAATACGGTAAATATACACCCACTGCCGTCAAATCGATACTGAATGAAATGAAGATCTGGATTGGGGGCGTGCTGGGCAGGGAGAGTGGCTGATAAGAGACGGAGAAGCATGGGGGAGGAGCCTGGAAATGGAAAGCCTTACAAACTCCACGTGAACTGAAATTTTACTGTGAAGGAGATAAAAAGCCACTAAATTTTTTTCTTTTTATATATAAAAAATTTGTTATGGTAAAAGTATATATGACAAAACGTTTGCCGTTTTACCATATATATATTTTTTCGATTTACCATATTTAAAGTGTACCATTCAGTGACATTAATTATGCACCAAATGTTTTTCACTACCATTCAGTGACATTAATTATGCACCAAATATTTTTCATCACCCTAAACAAAAACTCACTGTAAGGTTTAATCATAGGTACTCGTACTTCAGGTTTATGTTCTAGGGGCACTTTTCTGACTGATGTGTGAGGAAGCATTAGAGGGGAGGAATAGTTATTGAGATGGTGGGATCCCGGGTGAGCAATGATGAAGAGGAGGGTGGTGGGTATGCTGAGAAGGGGGCTGAGAGTCTAGAGACATTTAGGGAGCAGAACTGCAAGGACTTGGGGTCTGCAATCGTGAATCCTGGTGGGGCAGAGGAGAAGAGAGGCTGGTTTGGAATGGATCCTAAGGACAATTCCAGAGTAGGAAAAGAAGAACCCTTCACCCTGCCCTCTCACCCCCCAAAGGGGAGAGAATAGAAGGACTAGATATTCAGTTCACAGTCCCTTGAGTTACTGAATTCCAAAAAATGAAAGCCTGGAAGCAGTAGTTCCCCTGTGGGAAAGTTTCCCCAACCCCTGCCCCATTGGGTATTTTGTTAGTTTTTTTCCCCCTCAAAGATCGGACCAATAAGCATTCAATGCAGTACATGATAAACTTGGGTAATTTCAAGAAATCACTGAAAATATGGTGTGAGTGGTGATACTGGGAGGGTGGAAGGAGGGTGGGTTTAGGAAGGGGAAACCGATGAAAAGAATCTACATATAACCTCCTCCTTGGGGGACGGACAACAGAAAAGTGGCTGAAGGGAGATGTCGGACAGTGCAGTACCCAAAAGAACAAATCCTATTAGTTCAAGCTTTGTCCACAGAGGCAAAAACAGTTAAAGAGAGAATTATAGTTGGCTAAGAAGGGTCGGATGGACATAGGCTTAGAAAGAGAGAAATGACAGAATATAATGTCTTAAGGTAGCAGATTAACATGAGTAGTAAAGGGAGTTGTTCTACCTTGGGAAGGACAAAGCAGTTTCAAATCAGACAATTAGTTCATGTGTTAATTGAATATAAGTGGCCAAAGACTTGAGACCAGCCTCCTTATAAATAAGAGGGGTTCCTGTCCAGAGACTGTAAGTGGGGCTCAGTGTCCCGTTTCTGTCACGAGTAGAAATTAATTCCTGCATGCAAGCCCTGTTGCTTCTCCAGGCACCAACACTGGAGCCCTCTGCCCCTCCCCACTTTGTTCAGAGCGTGCAGTATTTCCTTAGTGGGTATTTTAACTCTAGAAGATGTTGCACAGAAATAAACCAATCTCATATTAACGTTTTCCATATTAGGTTTAACCTGTTACACTGTTCTTAAAATATTTTTCAACAGGACAATTTGCCATATTAGACTAGCCTGGCCAGCCCGATTTAAAATATGAAATGATTAATTTTGATAATTTACCTTAAAACAAAGGGTAAAAGGTCATTGAGGTAGTTAGTTTATTGTGCCAACCTGGCCGATAAACCTGTG